CCCCCCCCCCCCCCTGTTTTTTATTTATTTCTCTTTTACCTGTGAAGACTGGGACACCACAACAGCTTTCGCCAATTACCGTGGGCCCTAAAGTGTAAGATGGTCCTCACCAGAGTGATTGCTGTATGCCCCATATTTTCTCCTCCTTCACTGCCCAGGCAGCATTCATACCCTAGTGGACAAGAGCATAAACACTCTCAATGTCATAAATCATGCTAATATTTGAACATTTTTTCCGCAGGTTCCTGGGTGTTTCCATGCGCAAACTGCAGCGATCCAAGCTCTTGTTTCTGGCGTGAAGCCAAGTGGACCCCTGACTCGTGTACACACAACATTCTGTCCAACAAAGACGCCAAGACGTGTCTGGCTAGTAAAAAGGTTTTCAAACATTCTTTATGCGCATTGCTTTTTTTACGCAGCTATTTTAGGCTTGACCAAGATAACGAAATAGACCGTTTTCGAGCTCTAAATTACCACTGGGTTCCTCGATTACTCAGCTGGAACCAGTGTCTAAATACTCACAAATACCAACCGTAAAGGAGAGAATGCACAACTTCATCAAATACATCATCAATACAAACATTTTGAAATTCCACGGATCTTCTGGAACACATCAATATTCTGCACAAAATCGAGCTTAAACCTGAGCAACAGAGAACTTAAAACTGGAGCATAGACCCCTTGCATTAATTTCCCAGAGGAATGTTTCTGGGGGACAAAGCAATAAGCCGTCTTGTTTGTACCCCACAACAATTCCTTTCGGGACTCGGTTGCAAGGGGTCTATACAGGTAGTTGCCTTAAATAATTTACTTTATTTGTTTTCCAGATTTTATTTGTTGGTGATTCCACCAATCGAGGGATAATGTATTACTTGATGGAGAAGGTAAGAAGATATAATGCTAAGTATACATACATTCATTAGAGAGAAAGTTGTTACCATGTCCAGCGATTAATCTCCTTAGATGCATGAGAGGGTTTTCTTTGCTAAACAAAGATATATTTTTGAATGGCTTTCGTTATCAACCAATCAGAGATCAAGAAAATACACACTATCCAATATTTTCCTTTATTGTGTGCAGATTAACGGCTCTCTCCAACAATGGGAGAAAACCCACTCGATGAAGGTGTACAGCAGTGCACTGAACGATGGAAAAACATCTGTGAGTTTTGCATATTATCCACAGTTCTGGCTCCCTCCCGACAGAAAACCAGTCTTCCTGAAGGCTTTGCAACATCTTATGGCCAGGTGCGCAGCATTTATGGATTATTGAATTTATTAATCTTTTATCGCAAAGCCTATATAAAAATTTCCCACGTCCAAGCCTACACACTAGACGTTCTGCCTGAGTTCAATAACTCACTGCTCCGTTTTCAGTTTACTGGCACATCTAGTACAGAGCCGATAGCACTTTTATGGATGCGCGCGCAACGAAGGCGAAACGAGTAGCCTAAAGAGACTCGTTAGAATAGTTTTCTTTGTAATTTATGTGCGCGGTATTTCCTTTGATTTTTGATGTATAAATTAATCAGTTAGTGAGAAAACTGGGTCCAGATTTGGACTATGGCGCATCCAACTTGAGTCCATCTAGGTAGTACGAGAGGTACAAGGGGGGATGGGGAGGAGGAGGAACGACGCTCGCATGTGTGGTTTATACTGTTTTTTCAATGACCACTGTAATGTTAATTTATCTTTTATCTTCTTTTAAAATAGGTTTATGCCTCTCACAAACAGCACCGACACTATCCTCGTGGTGGGAGGGGTACAGTGGCTGTTACCTAGTCATGTGATTGCTATAAAGACGACTGTTAGCAGGTATGACGTAGAGTATATGTTGCATGACGTCTTTCAATAAGTAGCCCTCGGCTCGCTTGCATTCATACGAAAATCAAGAATGTTTCGCAGCTAAGAATAAGACTAAGAAAGTTTTCTTGAAACTTACATCCTTCAATGATATAATTGTTGTTGTTCTGATAGGCAAGTCGTTCAGTGTTGCTTTTAGCGAATGGTGAGCTTGAAGTTCTACAATTAGAACCTTCCTTCCTTCCTTCCTTCCTTCCTTCCTTCCTTCCTTCCATGCAAAAGAAGGACCTTCAAGGTCATGAATTCCCTCTTTCCAAAAAGGAATCAAGGTTAAAAAATTTTAAAAATAGTTAAGTCAGTATATCATTTATTAAATGTTTAAATCTAGTCTGTTTGTGTTTTAGTCTAGGACTTGGTGGGATCAAAGTCATCATCAAGACTCTTGGTTCCGGTTTTCATCTACCTGTTCCTGGGTTCGTCAAACTGAATCTGGTGAGTTCAATAACTAAGCTTTCGGCACCAAAGTTTAATTAATCCATGCGAGATTCCTGTGGATTTGGCGGGAAATTGGTACATTGCCCCCCTCCCTCCCCTCCTCTATAATCGAGACGTAGCTACGTCCTTGCTCTGGGTAACGAGTTTGATTCCTGATTTCAACATTACATGTGAGCAGAGATAAGTGTTAGAAATTGTAAGAGTATTTTTGTCATTTTTAAGGAGGGTCAACAGAAAGTTGCCCAGAGGAATCAAATGGTAATGAAAGCAGCAAGAACAGCTGGGTTCGAGGTAGTGGACACCCATGCTATGACAGTCGCCAGGTATAAAGAGTTCCTAATGGGAAAATGTGGTTGTCATTTTCACAAGGTAAAACACCATTAATATAGCTTCTGATAGGCCTTTTTTTGCTTGCCCCTCCCCCCTTTGGAGCCTACATATTTCGGATGGCTTCCCCCTCCCCCCCTCAATTCCACCAGCTCCCCCTCCCAGCTAAAAAATAGAAGTGTGTTCTCTGTGGTGCACATAAAGATCGTTCGGCTACGTGCGAGGGCTGTTCATTTTAATTTTCAGCATTGTGATTGGATAATATGCGGGTGGCTTCGTGTTTTTAATTGGCTCACAGAAAGCGAAAGCCATTTAAGTGTCAAAGTTTCTCATCCTTGTTAATCCATATCATTTTTAAGCTACTAGTACCATACATCAAGAGAAGGGTTACATTCGTTGCTGTGATTTCTCTGTAGGTAGTTGATTTAAGGTCCCATCAACGAGAAGACGATGAGATCCCATCCACACTGCTGAACACAATGGATAGTCTTCCAAGATACCACGTTATAGGACCCATCAATAGCGCTTATTCAGAGATCATAATAAGCAGAATGTGCAGCTGACATACGTACTAGTGAGCCCGTAGATATCACGCAGTATGAAGTTGTAAAGGGCTTTGACGAGTTACTGGGTGCCAAAAACTGATATCCTTTAAGAAACGTTTCAGTTGAGTATCCTTGAATGGGACGTATTTTTTAAACAGTTTTGTTTAATAACTATAAAATGTATGACGCATTGACGATAACTTGGTATTTTGGATGTGAAACTACAGTTCTCCAAAAAGTGTCGCGCAATGGCRGATGGGAATTTTTGTTCTGATTGGCCAATGATATCGATAAAAAATTGAAAGACAGAAAGAATTATGGGTAATCGTTATGAGCCAATGAACATCGGAAAAATCACAGAAACAAATAAATTACTTGTTCCCAAAACTCCTTATATGGAGAAATAAATAGAGGTTATCAGTCGGCTAAGCATCTGATACGGCYGTGTATTTTTACGAGTCACGGAGTATTTTGGTTGCAAAGAAATGCTCAAACTCTCTCTAAACCCTATCGTACCCAGCGCGAGCAGATAAGAACGGTGCTGATACGACCTCATATCAGGTCTTTTTCCATATCACGCACGTTCTTTGCAGAATTAGATGATAATAAAAGGTAAACACGTAGTTTATGGGAATTGCTATTTACCTTTCCACAAAATGATGAATTATTTAATACAATTGTACAGAAAGGAAAATAATATCAATAAAATTTATAGACCCTTTCTTTTAAATGGTTCAAGGTTTTTTTTACGACAGATTTTGAAGCATGCGTCAAATTCTCTTCGTACGATCGTCATTCAGTCTGACATTCATGCAAAGCCATTTGCAGGTCAGTGAGGTATTTGTAGTTCCAGAAATTGTTTTCTCTTGGAGAGAAATATATAAACCCCAAGGATTTCAATAGCAATACAAAAATAAACCTTCATCTAGACCTCCTTACGTACCCCCTTGGGTGAATTCCAGTATCCTCGCCAGTATCCTCCGTTTTCAAGACCGAGGGCACAGTTTTTCCCTATCCGGACCGACTATAGGACAGTAAATAACTTTTTTCCCCCGTATTTTTTTACTTGTTTTTGTAATCGTTTTGTGTTGTCGTTTAGCGGCAAAGGATACCGGACCGCGCGCGCGGGCAGATACTGACAAAATACCGCCCGCTCAAACAGCCAATCAGAACGCACGATTTTTTAGGATACCGGACCGGAAAAAAATAATTATAACAATTATAATATCCCCTTCTCAGACCATCCTACCCTTCTGGAAATTGTGTTCTGGAACTGTACAATATACGCCCCCCCACCCCTTGGAAGATCCAACTCCCTGCATTTGCTAGATTATATCAGGTCCACACACATGTAACATACTTGACGTGCCAGACATTTGACTTCAAGGGTATCATGTTACAAGAGCCTGGCTGTCGATCAAGGTCAACTAACGTATTTTGAGTTTAACAGAGCATTGGAGTAGGCTCCAGCAAAAACTACGCAAAGATTCATTATCACAAAACTATACATCATCTTACTGAGACAATGGCAAAGAAACAGCTATCTACACCCCAGGTAAGAAGTGACGCGTAAAAAATCAAATTGTTGTTAAAGTTCTTGTCATTTTACGATGGTTGCCTCTGACTAATTTCGATATTCTCTAAGCGTTAGTGAGGAAACTCCAGTTTGTAAGCAATAAGGCTCCTAGCAATCCTTATATACGTAAGAAACGGAAAGTGCTTTGAAATTTCCTTATTAGATTTCCGACTAGAAATATTTTGATATTAAGTAAGTAACTCAAGTTGACAGTGGTTTATCCCGACTTAGCAACGCAATGTACAAGTTAGTCAGAAAATATATCGCTGTTTCTCAGGGGCAAAAACGTTTTAACATTAGAACATAAACATTAGAATATTCACACGGTATTGGAATCTCGTGTTGTCGCTGTTTACGGTTGTCGATGAGAGGTTTACGTACGTTAAGATTTGCGTCATCGATATGTGTTTAGCCGGGAACTTTTGTATGGGTCATTATAACCATGGTAATCGGTCATAATATACGTTTTTCGGTCCATATACAAGAGTAATAACACTACTGCTTTTCGCATTTTTGCTTGTGTTAGTATTATTTTTGGAAAAGATGATTATAAAATTATAGCAGAGGAGAATGTCAGCCTGACCGGTATTATATTTAACTTATCTTCGTGTATTTCAATAGGTGTGGCTTGCCMCTCCCTTGACCTGCCCCACCTCACCCCTCTCCAACCTATGTCGTGGTTGAGTCTTCCCCTATACATTGTAGACTTACTACTTACATGTTTTTAAATCTAAGTTTCTTTCAGTATGCTTCGATGTATGTAATCAGTTCTAGCCTCTTCTTTCCCTCCCTTTCATCTTCCCTCCTTTCCCTTCTCCTCTCTTCTCCCCATTCTTTTATTTGGTATGATTGTAGTGAGTTTCAAAAAGGGGGGACCTTTACTCCACCTACCCTTCCCTCCCCTCTTCTTCCCTTTAATACTATTGATCTTGGTCAAGGGTTAAGACCATCTCTATATAGTTATTACATTTCATATCATTTACAATAGATACCAATAAGACACGCATATATAAGCATCGCCTTTATCTGTGTTAAGAGATTAAGATAAGCGTCTGGGTGCATGACAGGAATCATGTCTAAACTTCTCTCCTCGGCCTAGCACCAACACAGGCAACCCATGCGATGAAAAAAACTTTAAGCGCGGAAAAAGCAATGCTGGAGCACGCAGGCTGGAAACTCGTATTTTGTTTCGTGCACATTGATGTTCAATGACCTCCGGACATTAGAAGAAAAAAACTTACATCAAGAATTAATTTAAGACGGTGAAAAAAAAGGGTTTTGCTAATAAAGAAGACATTTTAAACTCACTAAAAAAGCATCGAACAAAACTGACTCTRTTTGCTTTAAATTTAGGATGAAAATTAACAACTAAATAATGAGAAAGTATAACGGACAAAAGGACCCCAGCCTCCCCTCCCCTATCTATCAAAAATGCACWAAAAATTCTAAATCATAACTATAATTTATCATCTAGTTTAAATGAAGGAAATATGGTTCTACATTCTTGCGCTTATAAATTTTTTAAGGTTCTTTTTTTCTTCTTGAGGTAATTATCCATTTTGTCAACGATCCTCTGTTTTTGAAATCAAGCCAAGTGCAAAGCRAGTCACGTGATATCGAAACAAATGATTACGCTTGTTTATTTATAAAAATACAGTGAAAAATAACCCGTTCTGACAGTTGGACCGGTGACCTGTGAAAATAAGCCAATCACGAGCGAGTTTTCTTTCACAACACAGTTTAATAACCTGCAGTGGAGCAACGAGTTCCGATCTTCTCATTAGGGGATCGATCTCTAAATGATGTTCAACACATAACATCCAATAGAATTTAAAACCTTGTTGAAGAAACAAGAAAACCAAATGAATTTGAATTTTAGTCCTTCCTGGGATTGTTTCTTGCTTGGAGACGTGCTTCATTATTCAAGCGTAAGACATCGTYGTTTCTAAGGACTTTGACGTCGGTAAATGCGATGTGGCGCATCAAATACCACTGGTACTGCAAGCAAGCTACAAAAAAACCTCCACAATTGTAACAAATGCTAGACCTGGACTGCTCATCTATCGTGTTAGACATCACAGCTAGCTTAAAAAGGTATATCTGCATATTTCAAAGCTTTTATTTGACTGTAAAAAAAGGAGAAAACAGATTTTTCTCTAAACATCTATCAAACTCTATGGTAATTACTAAAATATCTGAGTAAAAAATAACTCCCTGTTCAGCTCTGGTTACTAGTGTAGATTCTATTTGAAATAGCCTGGCGCTGATTATCAGGTTGGTAATTTATTTACGTTACAGAGAGAGAATTTTAGGTTGTTTCGTGGTGTAACAGGGGTCTGGGGGATCTGACTACATGACGTCACAGATAGCATCGACTAATACTGCGAAGGCTGATTAAACTAATATAAAAGCGCAAACCCACCACCACGTGGAAGACACGACGCTTTTTAAACGCTTTATCAACACGGGAATATTACGTCATGGGAAAACGTGAATTGACTTTCGAATGGCTTCCCATTTTCCCTGCTTTTTGATCAGTTGGTAGCTTTTTTTAGTGTCTTGTAACCACACAATTAATTTTACAAAATGTGAACATTTTGCCACATGTCAGTAATAATATCATACTCATTTGGAATAATTTGGCTTCTTTTTCAGCTGCTCGCTTAAGAAACAGTCCATTTAAACTGTTCTTATTGGATCAAGATAATCGTTTAGACTTATTTCTTAAATTATGTCTGATTAATGCGAACATAAACGATTTTCTTTCTTCCTTGATAATTGACAAGAACCCTTTTAATTACGCATTCTGAACTTAATGGTTATCTGTAATCAAAACCGTTGTCACGTCCTCATGCCGGAAAAAAAGTGTATCGAGTTTTTTGGGTATTTCACATTGTGGTCCGGCGATTCTTCCATAAACTGTGACCAGAGTGAAGTTGGTGTCAGGTTTTAGAGTCAGATTTTTGAGTCAGGTTTTCGGATCTAG